AATTACACTAAATAAAATAATTACAACTAAATTTTTAACCTCAATTTCATAATTCCGGATGGTAAAAAAAATAAATTCAGACTTTTAATTTTATTATCAAGCAATAAAAATAAAAAACCGAATACAAGAATTTTTTTTTACATTAAATTAAAAAATTGTTATTAGTTATTGAAAAAAATAAATAAAATGTGTTATTAATATATAGGTTACTCACAAAATTTTTTAGATAAAAGATTAATCATAAAAAATGTGACTTACTTTGATTATTAAATATAATTTTAAGAATAACAGTGAAAAAATGATATTTCGATGTACTTAAATTTATTTTCAAGTAAAATTTATAATCAACTTTATATTGACGTAGTTTCATATTCTCACAAATAATTACAAAAAATATACAATAATAAAAAGCACGTGAGCTCAACTTATTATAACCACATGTATGTACATACAAAGCCATCTTTCGTTGTTTTAACATAAGTACAAATAAATTGATCAGCTCTTTAGTACAGTGAAAGGACCGTGTGATGGCGCAGTGTGCAACTGACTTTAATAATAACAATAGTATTATACGAATAACATCGGCCGGCATCAAAGTACACCATTGTTACCGTCTAATTAAAAAATACACGTACTTATTATTTACGCGTACGCGAGATATATATGTTTTATTTGTTGACTTGACTTTGCTGCTGATGACTTGTATGTTATTTTACGTGTACTCAGTACATTTTTCACAGTCGTGTGAATAAACGTCGTGCGAATCATCTAAAATCATGTAAGAAATTAAAAACTCAATAAATTTACATGTAAGTTCTGAAAGTGATGGAGCAATAATTTAAAAAAAACTCAGTTATTCGCTATTTGTAATAGCAATCAAAATCAGTGGCAAGTAACGAGTGTATAAAGTTATGAGTTATAATAAAAGGTAATTTATTTATTTTACTAATTAATTTCGACGTTCCATTAAATAACATGTTGGAAAAAATTAAAAAAAGCTATTCAATTGATCTGTCAAAAATGACCTTTTTATAAATTTCTAATTACTGTGCTAATTATTAATTGTGATGTTATGATTAAAAACAATAAACATATTGCGTGAGACATAATTAAAATTAATATTAATATGGAACGGATCTTGCCAGACAGCTGACAATTTTTTTTCTTTAGAAAAAATAAATTGATTCTTATAAATAATTTTTTTTTTTATTTGCATCAATGATTTGTTGAAATTTTTAGGTAAATATTTTTTACAATAATTTTTTTGATACATAAATTGTTGAAAGCTGTCAGATGTTTATTAATTTCAATATTTATTATATTTAATTTGAGGAGCTATATCATATGATACTAAAATTGAGAGACATATGATAATTTTTTTAAGAAATAAATTATGGCAGAAAAATGAGGAAAAAAAAATTGACATGTAGAAATTTTAAAAAATTAAAAATGCTATTTTTTAAAAATAATTCTTTGGAGCAAATTTGTTTGTTAAATAAAATTAAAAAATTGTCAAGTGATTTCTCATTTTAATGTCATTTCTTTAGAAGTTGTAAAAAAAATATAAAATTAATTTTTTTAAAAATAATTGTCTATATGTTTATACTCTAACATATACTTTATATTACTCTTTTTTGTATTTTTGCCATTTAGCTGTTGTCTGTGCATTCAAATCAAATAAATAAATATATCTAGTTTATTTAAAAAAGAAAAAAATCAGAAAATAGTCTAAAGTGTCTAAAGTATATATGTATTATTAAGAGAATAACCAAAATTTTTTGGCCAGTGTATTTATATGATAAAATGGGTTTTTATGGTTAAATTTGGTATTGTTGGAAAAGTCTTGACCTGGAGTTGTTCCTTTTCATGGTTTCATATCATTCTCAATAGTCAATTTATGATGACAAGTATTTAGGCTGCATTCGAAAATGCTCTATCTCTAGATACATAATTAACAAATTGCCCTGTATCTCGTGAACTATTGACATTTTTAAAGATATAAGCTCATTCCGATGTTACACTCATCAAGACCTTTCATTTGAGTACTCACATCAATTTTTCATATATTTATATATATTACATATATGTATATATGAAAAATATATCAAAAATGCATGTGGGTACTCAAATGAAAGCTCTTGATAAATGTAACACCAAGATGAACTTATTTCTTTAAAAATATCAATAGTTCACAAGATACAAGATCATTTCTTAATTATTGACATTTTTAAAGATATAAGCTCATCCCGATGTTACACTCATCAAGACCTTTCATTTGAGTATCCACATCAATTTTTCATATAATTATATATATTATTATTTACATATATTGATATATATTATACTAGCTGTTACCCGCCCGCTCCGCTGGGCACTATAGAATTGAATTTTGAGATCTAGACTTAAAATTCAATTGAAGTATTGTTTTGACTTGCACAGATTCCAAATTCTATCGGATAGGCCTGTATCTTTTATCCATGTCATCATTCTAGCGAATATCCATTGTAACTTACAATGTGCAATCACTATAACATTCCCGTGGCTTTCTCCAAAAATAAATAATAATTTTGGATTTACGATTTCAAGATTTGATTTTACGAAATCTCTTAAAATGAGTAGCCAAATTTCTTTTCCCCATCTCAAGTGTTTAGAAAATGTATTCATTTTAATCTGTTACATTCCCGCGATCCCGTAATAAGAACAATTTATCGGTTATGTGATCAGCAATAATAAAATGTATGCAAAATACTCAATCCGTTGACTATATAGCTACATGTAAAGTTTAATTTTAGAAATCTTACAATGACTTTTTCGCCGCTGCCAAAGAGACGATTGTTGTAAGAAAATATAATTATCAATAAAAAAGGAAAATATTTTAATCCGTTGACCTTGGAGGCCATCCCTGTAATTACCTGTTTCTCTTGAGATTCTATGAAATTTTATATCTGTAGAAAATATATTTGAAGAATATGAATTTTTTGACAACTATCACTCCCGCACTCCTATGTGAGAGAGAAATTTCGTAAGATCCTATTCGAGATGATTTTTACATTATAAATAAAATATTCCAACAAAACTTCGAACCCATGGAAACTATTGTTTTGAAAAGAGAGATTTTCATTGTTAACGCCTCCGCAGTCCCTTTTGGAGTTGGAATTTGATAAAATTCATTCTTAACTGAACTTGACATACACGAAGACTCCCACCAAATTTTAAGTCTGTCGAAGTTACAGTTTGGAAATTAAAATTTTAGATTTTAACACCCACCCCCGCAATTTCTATCGGAAGTAAACTTTATTGAAATTCATTTTGAGATGATCTTTACAGGAGAAATAAAAGATTTCTACCAAATTTCGAGTTTTCAGAAGCTATATTTTGGAAATGAACATTTTTTATCGTCAACACCCACTCCCGCGATCCTTATTGGAGGTGATTCGTTGTAAAATCCGTTTTTAGATCATTTCTATATCACACATAGAATATTCCTACTAAATTTGAAGTCTATAGGAGCTATAGCTTGGAAATTAACAATTTTAATTGTTAATACCCACCCCAATTTCAATTGTTAATACCCATCCCCGCAAAACCCTGTGAGGTGAGCTCCCGCATGGAGAAATATATAAGTCAAAAATATATGTCGCATATATAATATATATGCCGTATATATTTACGCAAAAAAAAAATATGTCAACATATATTTTTCACATAGATGCTGACATATATGCAGAGATACATGCTTACATATATGTAGACATATATGTAAGCATACACTGAAAAAAAAATTTCTAAGTTTGAGAATTTTTTTACTCAAATCAAGAAAGTTAAATTTTTCAAAATTATTTTCTTGATTCAAGTAAAATTTTTTTCTGTGTATCTCTAGACACTTATATGCGCACATATATGTGAACATATATCTACGCATATATGGGAACATATATGCGGACATATATTTAGCGCAAAAAAAAATATATGTGAAAATATATATTTGCATATATTTTTCGCATATATATTTTTCCATGCGGGCTATCGTAAAATTCGTTCCTATATTATTTCTACATCTCTTACAGAAAATTCCTACCCAATTTGGAGTCTATTGGAGCTATAGTTTGAAAACGGGAATTATTTATTATTAACGCCCCCGCAATCCTCTTTGGGGTAGGATATCGTAAAATTCGTTTATAAATTATTTTTACATCACGTATAGAAATTTCATATAAAATTCCGAATCTGTAGGAGCTATAGCTTGAAAATTAAAAATTGTCATTATTAATACCCACCCCCGCAACCCCTTATGGGGGTGAGATATCGTAAAATTCGTTCATAAATTATTTCTACATCTCTTACAAAAGATTCCTACCAAATTTGGAGTCGATAGAAGGTATAGTTTAAAAATGGGAATTTTTCATTGTTAACGCCCCCGCAAACCCCTTTGGGGGAGGAATTTCCTAAAATCCGTTCTTAGCTGACCTCTACATGGTAAAAGTAATATCCCTGCCAAATTTCAAGTCTCTAGGTCTTATAGTTCCAGAGATATCGTGATGAGTGACTATCTATCTATATCTATAGAAAGTCTCCTATATATATATAGATAGATATATATGTATCTATGAAAAATATATCAAAATGCATGTGGGTACTCAAATGAAAGCTCTTGATGAGTGTAACATCGGGATGAGCTTATATCTTTAAAAACATCAATAGTTAAGAAAGTACAGTGCAATTAACAAAAGTCATTATTTAATAAAGCAAAATTTTATTTATTTATAGTTCACAAGTCACGGCAGTTATGTAGTGACTGCAAGGTTGCTAGTAATTTATTAAAATTAATTTAGCAGATATTTAATAATTTTGGTTTTTTTTTTTTTGTAATAAATAAATTATGACAAAAAAATTTTGCCATGTAGAAATGAAAAATGCAATTTTTTTCAAAACAATTTTTTATAACAAATTTGTTTGTTAAAAAAGATACTTAAAAAATGATCAAGTAACTTCTAATTTTAATGTCATTAATAACAGTAACTAATTTTTCATCAGAATTGGCCCATAACATGGACGGTGAGGCAGTAGTAGAGCAGTTGAACAACTCTCAGAGCAGAATGGAGAGCGGGTTAGTCTACGAGCCAATGGAAACATCTGAGCCAGAAGCTGGAGAAATACCAGGGGATAGTGACCCGCTTTCAATGGATCCTTCAACAATCGACACCGACGGTGATACTTTTCCAATGAACATCGAGGTCCCGTTTGTAGAAAACGACAATAGCATAGGAAATATATCAAACACATTAACAATAATTGACGGAGATGGATCAGCAGACGTCCATCTTGCCCAGGTGATGTCTTTAGCTTCGAGTTCCCTCGAGTACGCTTCAGTTTCCGAGTACCGAGAGGCGGAAAATCCAAGAATCAAGTGTCTACTGGGCCAACATCATCTCACCAGGACCGAGCCAAAGCCTTGTCCTAGTTCAAGCTCTAACTCTATTTTATTTTCTTCAGAAGCTCAAAGAGTACCTGAAGTAGAGCCTAGTCAGTTAAGTAATTCTAATAATAAAAATGAGTTCAATAAGAGAGCTGAAACTTGGCGGTCTCAGGACGATGAGCTTGATTTTAAGACCCCAGTACCCTCTTATGGGACTCCTGTAAATCCAAAGACAATTAAACGAGCCGGACCCTACATTCTGGGGCCACTTATTGGAACTTCGCCGGTTAGAAGTATTGTTCAATGTCTCGCTAGGAAAGTCAGGACTGATAAGTACTATACTATTAAAATACTTACTCTTAAAAACGAAGGCGAAGATGAAACCCAGGATGATCGTCAAGGAAAAATGCTTCTGCATGCTGAATATTCTCTACTGAGCTTATTGCAAAATCAAGATGGTGTTATTCATCATCACGGATTTTTTAAGGTAAAATTTTTTATTTATTTATTTAATTTAAATGCCAAGGCAATGACCGAATGGCAAATGATACAAAATAATAAGTAAAAAGTACAGATAAGAATATATAGATTTATAGATTTGTTTATTATTAATGCCAAGGCACAGGTCAAATTGCAATTTTTATTACATAGTGTATACAGTTTTTATAAGAAAACAATTTCTATGAGTACATAATATAGCATTGCATAAAAATTAATTTAAATGATTTGCATATAAAATCAAATTAAACTTAGAAATTAATATAAAAAATATAGAATTTTTATGTCAATAAATCAGATGATAACTCAACATAATAATTCTGCGAATTGCACTTATTTTATCCTTATTTTAATCTTTAAAGTATTAAATTCAAATTAGTTATTGACATCGTTTTAATTATCAAGATTTAATAAGTAATTGAAAACTTTTTTTTTTAAGACTTGCAAGCTACTTAAATTTACTACTATTTAATATAAACAGATCTACATAGATAAATTGATAAAGTTAGGACTATAACTAATCGAACAAAGCATACGGTTTAAAATTTGAATAATAAAATCAAATAATTACAATTAATAAAAATGAGGTGAGTAAAAGTGAACAAAAATTTTTAGTTTGAATAATAAATGTCAGACTTTAAATTTGAATTTAAATTTAAAATTTAAAGCACTGTAAATAGAAGTAATATCATTGTCAGTGATACCAGGTATCCAGCTGTTCTTTAGCTCAAGATCACGGAAAAATTCTTAGGATTTTGTCTTGAAAGAGTTAATGCTAAGTGCATTGATGATATTAGGTGGTAATTTTTGCCAAAGACGAATTCATGAAATTAAGAATAAATGTTCATAGGAGGCAGTTGAAAAATTTCGAATTTTTAATGCAACATTGTTTTGTTTAGCAATTTTAATAATTAATCAAACTAACAGATATCTTAAAATTTTTTTATAAATAAAAAAATAATAGTTTATAAATAAACTTTTATAAAAATTAAAGTAGCAAAATTTATATAGTAAAATGAATTTTATAAATTACAGGACTCGGCATTAGAAGAGAAAGTCGTTGGAAAAACTCGAATTTATACTGGAAGAGTTGTCCGAAGACTTTGCTTAGTTCTTGACTGTCTTACAGCTCATGACTTCAATCCACGTAACGAAGAGTTATTAAATCTCCAGCACCACGTCATCCGGGAGAAAAAACTCTCTGAAAAAGAGAGTTTACTAATATTCACAGACACTGTTAGAATAGTCGCAGAGTTGCATAAAAAAAATATAGTTCATCGTGACTTAAAACTCGGAAACTTGGTATTGAATAGAAAAACGAGAAAAGTACGTTCTTCAATTACAAACATTTATTTCAAACAACAACAATAACAATACCAACAAAAATTATTTTTTTTAGGTAACCATAACAAACTTCTGCTTGGGCAAGCACTTAGCCAGTGAGAACGACCTTCTAAAAGACCAACGAGGCTCCCCAGCTTACATATCCCCAGACGTTCTGTGCGGTAAGCCTTACCTCGGAAAGCCGTCAGACATGTGGGCATTGGGAGTCGTACTATTCACGATGCTCTACGGGCAATTTCCCTTCTACGACAACACTCCAACTCAATTGTTCGTGAAAATAAAGGCTGCGAACTACCAGATCCCTCCGGACAACCGGGTGTCTGAAAAAACAATAAACCTGATCCAGGACCTGCTGGTTCTCCAACCGAGCCGGCGCTTGACCGCAGTCCAGGTGCTCGAGAGTCTCTCTGAAATAATCTACACCTTCAAGAGTCCCGTGACTGTCGGCGAGGAAGAGCAAGTAGTGCCAGACATCAGCGACCTCAAGGACGACCCGGTTGAAAAAAAAACCGAAGTAGTGGAGAAGTCAAAGCTCCGCTCCTCGGATCTTTTCAAGCAGATAAACTTCCGTGAGCAGATGCTTCAGCTGATGAACCAGTCCCAGAGTCTTTTGGTGCCTCGAGCTCGCTCTTACACTCAGATTCCAGTCCATCGAGTTAACTCAGACCCTCGGGAGCTTACTCCAGCAGAATTGGAGATGTACCGGCATTTTATTCCCAATGACCAGCGTCAACATGGCTCCCACGGTTCCAGTCGCCGGGATAATGTTATTAGAGCTCGTGCTGCTACTAGGTATCGACCTGCGCATCCTCGTCAAAATCAGCCTCCGCCTCAGAATCAACCTCAAACTACTCAACAAAATCCTGAAAATCTAACAGCGCTGAACAGTCATTCTAACGCAAATCGTTCCTTGAATTGGTGGTACCCTCAAATGTCAACATCTAGGACAAATCAACAGCTGCCGCGAGCTGGTACTGAGTCAAGTGGTAGTAATAATAATTCTACGCTACGGAGTTCTCCAATGGTGCTTGGAGTTCCATTAGGAGGAGTGGGATCACAGAGTGAGTCTATGATTCTGAGACCGCCTTATCGCGAACGCGAACCTGATCATCTTTCGAGTTCCAACTCTGTAAATGTTGGGACTCAGAATGATAATCAGAGCTCGGCTTCGAGCAACAGATATGATCATGCTAGAATGTCGATGGCTATTAGAGCTTCCTTGATGCGACGAAGTCAAAGAAATGGTGGTGGTGAGCAAACTCGCTCGGTTGCTGGTAATGTTAATCGGTCTGTTCCTGGTAATGGAGAAGAGACTGTTAGAGGCAGTCATAATCAGAATCAGAGTCATAGTCACAGTCGGTTTCGCGAAGCGATTGTTAATCAAATTGTCTCGATCAGAGCTAGGATCCAGCAACACAGGATCAATAATATTGAACGGCAAATTGAAAGTGTCAGGAATGGGATTCTAGCTAACTCTAGAAATGGTGGAAGTAGATATTCTGTTGCTAGACGGAACTACATGGCCCACTCAAGGCATCTGCCTTATATGACCAATTTGAGATATTTGTCGACTATTCGCAATATCTCTAATGATATTTCGAGGACCAGGGCTGAAAATAGTGAAGCTAATTTGGATTCTGTGATACATAATAATAATAATACTAATAATAATAGTAATAATGATAATAGCGTAAGTGAAAGAAGAAATTTAAATTCTAGAACTGGAAGTAATAATGATAGAAATATGGGGTCTAACTTTGCAGACGCTTTACAGCAAATAGCTACCCGGCTTGGCCAATCTCTCCAGTCAAGGGAGTCTAATGAAATTGGTAGGGAGTCTCGGTTAACTCAGCATAATTCTAGTGAGTCTATGCGTGAACAGAATAATTGAGTTTTGAATTTTTGAAAAGAAATTAGAGTACTATCCCAAGCTTCACATAAAAAAAAACTGTTGACTTTTTGGTAGATTTTATATATCAAGGAGTTGAAAAATTGATAATTGTCAACTTAAATTCAACAAAATATTACCAAAAAATTTTTTTTTGCCGCTTGGGATATTGGTGATTGTTTTTTTTGAAATTTATTTAACTATTTATTTTTATTTAAAAGATATTATTATTTTCATTTTTATTATTATTGTTATTATTGTTATTTTTATAAAATGAAATTAAATTTCACCTAAAAAAAATTTGTAAAATTTTAAAATTATAAAAAAAAAGTAAATTTATTTATTATTTTAACGAAAAAATAACTTGCTCATGTAAATTATTATTTTAACAAAAGTATAAATTTTATAAAATTTTAGTTCAATAAAAAAAAGTAATTACATACCTTATTTTCTAAATATTTATTGCACGACTAAATTTCCCTGTGTTTAAATTTTTAGTACTAAAATTAGCTAACGTTTTTAAATTAGAAGAAAAAACTACTTTGTAAGAATTGCACTTACAGTTTTTTACAAATGACAATTTTCTTTTATTTTTTTTTGTAATAACTTTTTCTGTTTCAATAAAAAAAAAATTTTAGATGTCGCCTAACTTTATTTTCATTTAAATTTCCCGCTTTTTATCACGCGCGTCAGCCATTTCAGTCTTATTTTTTAATTCCTGTAAAACTCACAGTACTACTTTCTTTTTCACTTAGCTCGCCTTGCAACAAGACGTTACGATGAAAGCTAAAGGAGAAGTAAGTTTATTTATTAATACATTTATTTTATAAAAACTGAATAATCATCACCCTAAATTAAAAGACAATGTGTTTTTTTAAATTACTCACCAAAAGTCGCAATCTAGTCGCTACTTTTTTAAGATGCGTGTGATAATTATTTGATTTTGAGGTTAGATGTACGGCATGGTTTGTGATGTGTCCGTTTTACCTGCCTAAAAATGAATCAGCCATATAAATTTTATATTTATCAAAACATTTGTTTTTATAAATAAAATTTTTTTAATGATCTAAACTTATCTAAAATCTTTCTATTTTGCAGTTGGTAGAGTATGAAGTCATTGGAAGGAAACTTCCAACAGAGAAGGAGAAGACTACTCCTCTGTATAAAATGCGCATCTTCGCCCCCGATGCCATCGTCGCTAAGTCCAGATTTTGGTACTTTTTACGTCAATTGAAAAAATTCAAAAAATCTACTGGCGAAATTGTTTCTTTGAAACAGGTAATTATTATGTTTGAGTATGTCACGCATATGTGTGGACATTCCAGATATTTTTTTTGACAATTTTTCTCTAAATAAATAATTTATCTAAAAAATTTTATTTTTTTTAAATTATTAAATTTATTTTTCAACAAAATTTTTATTTGCTTTTAATAAAAAATTTTTATCAATATTATCAAATAATTTTTGTCAATTGAAAATTTTTTTTTAATTCAATTACAAATTAAAAAACTTGAAAAAGTTTTAATTGATAATTATTTATATAATTTTTTTCTTCAACAAAAAGTTGTCAATTGACACTTGATATGTTTGTCGATTATTATTATTATTATTATTTTTTAATTATTATTTTATTTTACAGATCCCCGAATCTACTCCAACCAAGATTAAAAACTTTGGAATCTGGCTCCGTTATGACTCTCGTTCCGGTACCCACAACATGTACCGTGAATACCGTGACATGTCAGTAAGCGGTGCTGTTACTCAGTGCTACAGAGACATGGGCGCTCGTCATCGTGCACGTGCTCACTCAATCCAAATTATTAAAGTGGAAATCGTGAAAGCTGCAAACTGCCGTCGTCCGCAAGTCAAGCAATTCCATGATTCCAAAATCAGATTCCCTCTTCCCAAGAGGATTCATCACAAAAATCGAATGCCGCTTTTCAGTGTACGCAAACCACGTACATTCTTCCTTTAAATGGACACTACGATTTTGTGTATTATTAATATAAATAAAAAATGGATCATGTAATTCATACTACTTATTTGTTATATATATTTTTTATCTTATTCCAATCATTATTTTATTTTATATTCAATTTTTAATATTTATACAATCCAAGTACTAATTTTTTTAGTAATTGAAATTTAATTATTCTGAAAATAAAATTAGATAATTTTTTTAAGTAGTAATTTTTAAAATTGAAAATATTTTTATTTCCGATATCATTAATCAAAAAATATTCAAGATGACAGCTGAATTTTATTTCATAGAAATTCTCAGAATAAAATAAAATTTATTTGAGGCTTAACGCATGTTAAAAAAATCTATTACGTTATTGCTGACTCAATACTGATCTAAATATATGTCCATATACATACGTTACACAAATAGCATTAGTACTAGTATTGGTATATGTAGATGTGTCATAACAAGTATATATCACAATTTACGATAAAAACATTTTATTTTTTTCATGCCCAGTGACTAATATATTAATTGATATATAAGTTATAAATGTGGAGTTTAATATATTTTTAAAGAAGTGTTAAATTGAAATTAAATATTAATTAAATAAATTTTTATTAGACAGTGAAATAATACCTTTAAGGTTATATTGACATGTCGGGGTAAGCAATTTTTATTTGTTCATGATTCATTAATATATTAATTATTTTAGTGAGACTACTTTAATTAGACACAAAAGAGTTATTTTAATAAAATTTAAAAAATAGTTAAAATCTAAAAAAGTTAATTAATTATTGTGCATTGTCATGTCAAAATTTTTTAATAATTACATACTATTGTGATACTTATTTAATTATTTTGAATAAATATATTTTTTTTTGTGTGTCATGTCAGCTGTTTTGATATTTCTTTAAAAGTTATATTTATTAAAATTAAAATAAAAATAAAGTTAGCTGACATCTAAAAATTTTTATAATTTTTTTTATTAAAGAATTATTACAAAAAAATTTTTTTCATTTGTTAAAAACTTAAAAAACTATAAGTGCAATTTTTTAAAAATATTTTTTTAGTTATAATTTAATAAATTGAGCAAAATAAAAAAATCAAACTTCAATGTTATTTATTGTAAAGTACACGGAAAGAACAAGACGACACTGGATACCATCTCAGATTATACTCAGTGACATCTGAGGAGAAAAAAAAATTTCAGATGGTAGCTAGTATAATCCAGGTTATACTGGATTATACTCATTGTAATCTGGATTATACTCATTGTAATCTGGATTACGCTCATTGTTATCTGGATTATACTAGCTACTATCTGAAAAATTTTTTCACTCAGTATAATCTTGTTCTTTCCGTCTATATGACAATATTATAAAAATTAATTTACCAGATATTTGATAATTTATTTTACAAATAAAGTATAGCAAAAAAAATTGACATGTAGAAATTTAAGAAAAAACAAAAATTACAATAAAAATAAAATTAAAAAATAATCAAGTGAATGTAATCTTTAACGTCACGAAATATTAAATCTATAAATATTATATTTTTGCCGACTAAATATTACACATTATTGCATAAATACTTTATAACTAATACTATAATAAAATGACTAAATATTTTAGGTTCATAAGTAAAATTCTTGGACTACGACAGCAGCGAGTTCCATTTGAAGAAGATGAGAACAATGGTCTAATGCTTGCAGACAAATATATCCCTGAGGAATTAATTGGAGAATTGTTGTGCTACGTGGACCACAAATCGCTGCTAAACTGTCAACTGGTCTGCCGAAGGTGGAAAGATCTGATCCGCGAGTATGTTTTCAGGAAGAAGGCTGAGATGACGTTTGGCCAGTCGCTCCAGTGCTTGAGCAACTGTGAGGATCCTTGGAAAATCTACTACAAGATTTGCAAGAAGAATCCCTTCGAGCGAAACTTGCTGAAGAATCATTCAGGGCAAGATGGATTGAAGAAGCACTGGGTCATCACGCGACAAGGTGGAGATCACTGGAAAATCGAGAGCCCGCCGGTCGGAGTCCCTCCTCTGCCAAAAGATCCTGTATTTGAAGGAAGTAACTCGTGCTTTGTCACTTCTTACAGCCAGTGCTCCAAAAGACAACTCATTGATCTTTTGGATGAAGGATTGTCTGATGTTCTTTTGGATACTTTCCAACCAACCATTGAAGTAATTGAAAATTATAATTAAATTTTAAAATTCTTGGAATTTTTATATAAATCAATTACAAAAAAAATATTTTTAGAAATTTTCATTTATAATTTTTTAAAGTTTCTCCAAGTAGAAATTTTTTGTATTATTTTTTTATGTGGCTGTTATAAAAATCTAAAAAAGTTTTAGTTTGTTAAATTCAGTATGATATTTTAAAAAATAATTTTAATGATCAATTAATTAATGACTTTTTTTTTAAGGTCGGAGAGTGGTACAGCTGTCGCTGGGATTGCCCAGCTAAATATGATTGCATTGTGTCATTACTTGATAAGAATGACAAAGAATTGGATGTCTATGTATTTAGAGATAACCTTGAAGATGATAATGATAAACAAAATAAATGGTTACATGTGAGTATTTGAATATTTTTTTTATTGATCGTTTTTAATAAATTGATATTTAATTAAGGTAAGAGCCCCAAAGCTGCTCATGTACATGTTCACTTCATCTATTTGTATTATATTCACAAATATAGATACCTTAAATGCTTAAAAATTACCAGATGTAATTTTTTAGATTGTTAGTAAAAAAATTAATTAAAAAATTTTAAACAAAGAAATTAAAAAAATATTAATATATTAGGAATTAAAAAAAATTTTTTTATTATTATTAAGATTTTTTATTTTTACAGTTCACTCATGAGTTTAAGAACTACGGACCCGGTGTGAGAAAAATATTATTCCAGCATAGCGGTAAGGACAATTTATTCTGGGCTGGCCACTATGGAAGCAAAATGGCTGGAGCTTCTGTCATAGTAAAAGTGGAACCAAAAACCGCCAGCGGTTCTCCCAGGAAACGAAAATCTAGTATAGAGTTAGACTAGTAGGTCATTAAGTTAAATTAACTAAAAGTTAATTAAGAATCTTGTTGACACTTGGCAAGCTAACTGTTAGGCTTTTGAATCTTTAATATTTATAATACTTTTACAAGTTGATATTTAAGAAGTACAGTTTATATTAAATAATTAATTAATTTAAACTGTTGCTGGCAACAATTATTCTTAAGCTAAGTACTTAATTGGTATTTTAAATAACTTTTTTTTTTATGAAAAATTTGGATTTGTGATTAATTAAAAATAAATTGCATCGTTTGTAATATAATTTATATTTTTTTATTATATAGCAATTTTTTGAACTTAAAACTAACACAAAGTTTAATTAAGAAAATATTTATTTTAATTTAAAAAATATCACAATTCCTCTTAGTTTAAATTTTTAACTATCATTTTAATCTATATATATATATAATACACATTAAAATATTATTTAGAGTTTCATATTGCAGGCACCGATACGAAGTAAACAAAAAATAATCACAACTAGCAACCTTGCAGTCATAATTGATTACTTTCAATGCCATGTACTTTGAAGTTTAAAAGCCATTTCAATCAAATTTTGCGGAACAGAATCTTCATAACACACATAAAATTCTTTGAGGCAAGGCGTCTCGAACAGCCGCCCAATCACCCAGAAATTGATACCCTCGTATTCGAATAAAATCCCATGCTCTTTTATCGCTACGAGATTTTTATTAATCGCTACACTGGCTGGATCCTCAATAGCCATGGTCTTAAATCGGACCGTGTTACCCAGCAGCTTGTGAATTGTATGAGCGCACTCGTTGAAGGTGTTAATCACATCTGCGTTTTTTCCAGAGTTCTCAATCGTCCTCGAGGACATCAGGACCCCTTCAAAGGGATCCAGATGCACGTAGTGTATCAATACATTCTTGGGCCCAGTAGTGATGCGTATAGGGGAAATCACTTCTGATTGACTCAGCAAGCTCTCACGGATGTCTGTGAAGTCGAATGGACAGTGCTGCTGCTGGTCACAGTCTTGCTGTAAAAAAAATCAGTGGATTAATTTTTCTTATTTCAGAGAAAATAATGGAGTTTTTTATTTTTTTCATCAGCTTACACGGTACATGTCTATTTCAGAGTCACTGTCGTCAGACTCAACTCTTGATTGGGCGAGATATCTTTCTCTTAATGCTCGTCTACCTAAAATTGGCGCTCCGTCATCACTTTGTTCACTCATTGCTCCTCCTTGGCTCAATGATTCTTCAGATGCTTGAAATGAGTACACTAGAAATAAAAATTTTTATTAATTTTTAAAAGAATATACAATTTTTTTTTTTTTTATAATAAAAAATAGTTAAATAGCTATTTAAAAAGTAAAAAATTTTTTTTTCTTGTTAAGAATGTAAAAATTCACTGAAAAAATGAAAAAAAAAATTTTTTTTTTATCTTTCAATTACAAAATTGAAAAATTTGAATTTTTGATTATGAAAATTCAAAATAAAAATTTTTTAAGTAGACTCTTAGGATGCAAAAATATCAAAATTTTCTAAAAGCCTCATTTTTAAAGTTTTAACCAAATAATTTTCAATTATCATATTCAAAATTGAAAAAATTCTAATAATTTCTAACTAAAAATTTTATTTTCTATTATTTCACTAAATTTTAAGTCAAAAAGAGAAAAAGAAAATTTTTTTTCAATTTTTTAATTACAAAAGTGAAAAGTTTGAATTTCTGATTATAAAAATTTTCCAAATAGACTTTTAGGAAGCAAAAATATCAAAATTTTCTAAAAGCCTCATTTTTAAAATTCTAACCGAATAATTTTCAATTATCATATTAAAAATCCCAATAATTTCCAACTAAAAATTTTACTTTCCATTATTTTACTAAATTTCAAGTCAAAAAAGAGGAAAAAAATTTTTTTTTTTCAATTTTTCAATTACAAAAGTAAAAAATTTGAATTTCTGATTATAAAAATTCTCCAAGTAGAATCTTAGGATGCAAAAATATCAAAATTTTCTAAAAACCTCATTATTAAAATTTTAACCAAATAATTTTCAAAATTCCAATAATTTCCAACTAAAAACTTTGTTTTCTATTATTTCCTTAAATTTCAAGTCAAAAAAATTTTTTTTTCAATTTTTCAATTACAAAAGTTAAAAAATTTTAATTTCTGATTATGAAAATTGAAAATAAAAATTTTCCAAGTAGACTCTTATGATGCAAAAATATCAAAATTTTCATTTTTAAAACTCTACCCAAATAATTTTAAATTATCATACTCAAACTTAAAAAAATTCCAAAAATTTCTGGCCAAAAAAAAAAAAATTTATTCCCTTAAATTTCAAGTCAAAAAAATTTTTTTCTCCAATCCAAAAAAACTCACTCGACCCAGTAATAACAAGACTTTGCTCCGGACTCCTCTTCTTCAAAATAGAAGTGACCTCCGGAACTTTTTTAATAGTCCCACAATTGCTTTTCGCCGGTGCGCTAGAAGTATCCGCTGACTTGATCAACCCTAACAAATTTTCCGCAATACTAAGATGCTTTCCCCCGACTTTCTCTTTGAGATCCACAGTTTCAGGCTTGGCATTCGACGCGATCCACTTGGCAGCATAAATAGGCACACCGATCTTCTGAATATGCCTGAGAGTCTCCTGAGCCTCTTCAACATAAAAAATATCAGGACCATCCTCAATAATGGTTTGCGACGTAGCCCCGCTTTCAAACAGGGCAACAAGAAACTCAGTTTCATAGCCAACGACCAGGACGAACCACTTGGCATCAGGGGCGCAGAACTGAGTCTTGGGATCAGTAACAATCCCTCGGTGGCAGGACTTAGGATAGACCGACCTCCAGACAACCAAGCTCTTGACCGGTTCATTCTCCATCAGCTCCAGCAGCCCGTTCATCCTCAGAAAAGAGTGAACCTCCAGGAAGTCCAGATGCATGATATGAGAAGTCAGCAAGTAGCTCTTGTGATAAACGCAAGTCCCAAGGATTGTGTAGAGCCTTTGGCACTCCATCGGGTCTTCGTTCCACTCACGGCAGTCCATAGCTTCCATTTCATTTAACGCGCAGTCTATTTCAAACTGGGCTTCCATGGGCAGCTGGACATGTTGGGCAGCACCGACTATTTTTTCAAACTCGCATTTTTCTCGCCTTTGAATCGCGGTTTTTATCTGTTGAACCTCATCATCAACCGGGTCCTCATCGTGGTCGATGCCCAGCAGCCTGGTGAACGCCAGGTAGAACATGTGGTCCAGCTCCAGGTGATTGTACTCATCAGCGAAGCATTTATGGAGAGTCGCGTAAGAAAACTCCAGATTTCTCACAATATCGCTCATCAATTCTTTGGACTCTTCGAGGCTGTACCAGCGCTCGGGAACTGCCAAGAGCAGCAGCTCGTCATTCCGAGCTACGTATAGCACATGGATCCGCTCGCTTCCTACAGAAATAGTCGTGCTGGAGGGTATCGCGCTGAATGTCTCTGGAAGAAGATGGTTCAAAGTGACAAAAGCACCTCTTGCTGAACACAAAATTGAATTTTGTGATTTATTCTCGGATCTTGGATACGTGTACATGACTCCTTGCAATTCGGGTCCGGTTTCTGAAAGTCCGGAAGTTTGGAGGTAAATAACGCCAAAAGAGTAGTCCAACAGGGCGTTCATGAATTTTTTACTACGCTCTCGGTCCACCAGACGACGAACTCGGGCAGATTGCCGGGGGATACTAGAAGGCTCGTCTTCGGTAACTTCAATACCCGCGACTCGCTGCAATTGGAGCTTCAGGCTCATTGGGGAGGATATTTGGTTTAACAGAGGCTCTATGTTCTCGGTTGTCACGTCGTAGTCGTCTATACTCCGAAGCCAGTCGCCTATTTTTATGTTCTTGTTTTTTATTGCTTCGCCGTCCGGGATGAAGCCTGATACCATTACTCGGACTTTGTCGGAAAAATCACCGGGGACTATTCCGAGGTAGGCTTCGCATAAGGTTGCGCGCCGGCCTAGTTTGTGACGTTTTTCGGGATCCACCCACAGCATCACTTCTTTTATTTCACCTGCCTGGAATTTATAAAAATATTAATAATTTCAAGTTTAAAAAAAATTTAAGAGAGTGAGAAAAATTTTGTGACCAGTCTTGACTTAAATTTGTGCCTTTTCAAGGTTTCATATCGTGTCACCGATAAATAATTTATGATAAGTATTTAGGCTACATTCGAAAATGCTCTATCTCTATATACGTAATTAAGGAATGACCCTGTATTTTGTGAACTATTGATATTTTTAAAGATATAAGCTCATCCCGACATTACACTCATCGAGACCTTTCATTTGAGTACCCACATCAATTTTTCATATATTTATATATATTATATATATGTATATATATAAAATATATAAAAAAATGCCATGTGGGTACTCAAATGAAAGCTCTCGATGAGTGTAACATCGGGATGAGCTTATACCTTTAAAAATGTCAATAATTAAGAAACGACCTTTTATCTCGGGAAATATTGACATTTTTAAAGATATAAGCTCATCCCGACATTACACTCATCGAGACCTTTCATTTGAGTACCCACATCAATATTTCATATATTTATATATATTATATATATGTATATATGAAAAATATATCAAAAATGCATGTGAGTACTCAAATGAAAGCTCTTGATAAGTGTAACATCACGATGAGCTTATATCTTTAAAAACGTCAATAGTTAAAAAAGTACAGTGCAATTTAACAAAATTCATTATTTAATAAGAAAAAATTTTATTTATTTATATTTCACAAATCACAGCAGTCACATAGTAACTGCAAGATTGCTAAAAATTAATACCTGATAATCTTGAAATTTAACTTCTTTATTCCCTTCCTTAGAGGCATTGCCGTCCTGTTTAGAATCACCCTTGGATTTTTTATTCCTCGTGCTATACCTCTTGCTCTCGCGCCTTCTGATCAATCTCATAAGCTTTCCGGCTCGGGTACTTCGTTTTCTTTTTAATTCCGGAGGCGGTGATTCTGGCTTCTCGGGTTTTTTATTGCTCCCAGGAGTCTCGGACAACGATTCTATATAAAATACTTCGCCCAAGGGTCCTATATCTGTTTCCCATTCGGCGTAGGAGCTAGAATAAAATATTTAAAAATTTATTTCTCTACAATCAATATTAAAAAAAAAAAAAACAAAATTATTTTACCTGTCAGTGTAACTTTCGCTGTCAGAATAATAAGACCCGCTGGAAGAGCCACTGTCGCTAGCCCACCACTCATCGTCATCTTCATCGTGCTCTTCATCATGGTCATCTTCTTCGTCTTCCTCATCGATAGTCGCAGTGGTTCCCTGTCGCTCCTCGTATCTCGTCGAACTGCTGGCTCCTTCTTGCTTGTCTAGTCTGTTGAATCTATCCATTCTTCCGCCGGGCTGTAAATAAAATAAAATACATAAATAAGTAATAGTGATAAAACAAAAAAATTAATTCACCCGTGTTATTTATTTACTTTGACTCGCGAATCGCGACACACAAACCAGAGTATAACTACTAAATATACAGACTATAGACTAGCTGAGCTTGACTAAAGTGTCTTAAAAAAAACCGGTAAGTTAAATAACAATAAAAGAATGCCAGGCAAGGGGTCAGATGATTATGTACCTGAAACTATACCTGTGTTTTAAAGCCAAGCTCACCTTACCATTGGTGTAGCATTCAGGGGAACGTAACCGTTTTTTTACGCCAAAACAATTGTAGAGGGGATTAATGGGCATGTATAAAGTATATATTATCTCCACGAGGACTCAACGAACCGCCAACCCTCCCTCATCATACATTAAATATAATCCAGGCTATTTATCAAATTGTTCCGAGCTGCTAAGCTCCACCTCAGCTATACATAATAAAACTTTGCGGGTCTCTGCAATTAATATTTACTAGCAACCTCGCAGTCACTATGTGACTGCCGTGACTTGTAAACGATAAATAAGTGAAATTTTGCCTTATTTAATAATGACTTTTGTTAAATTGCACTGTACTTTTTTAACTATTGACATTTTTAAAGATATAAGCTCATCCCAATGTTACACTTATCAAGAGCTTTCATTTGAGTACCCACATGCATTTTTGATATATTTGTCATATATACATATATATAATATATATAAATATATGAAAAAAATGATGTGGGTACTTAAATGAAAGGTCTTGATGAGTGTAACATCGGGATGAGCTTATATCTTTAAAAATGTCAATAGTTCACGAGATACAACGTCATTTCTTAATTATTGACATTTTTAAAGATATAAGCTCATTACGATGTTACACACATCGAGGCCTTTCATTTGAGTACCCACATGGCATTTTTTATATATTTTATATATATGGTATTTGAGAAATATATAAATATATAAAATATATGAAAAATTGATGTGGGTACTCAAATGAAAGGTCTTGATGAGTGTAACATCGGGATGAGCTTATATCTTTAAAAATGTCAATAGTGCACAAGATACAAGGTCATTTCTTAATTATGTATCTAGAGATAGAGCATTTTCGAATGCAGCCTAAATACTTATCATCATAAATTGACTATTTGTGAGAATGATATGAAACCATGAAAAGGCGCAACTTTAGGCCAAGTCTTTTCCAACGATACCAAATTTCACCATAAAAACCCATTTTATCATATAAACGCACTAGCCATACAATTTTGCTTATTCTTTTGAGAATATAGATTATCATGCTTTTTTATTATCATTCAAAAATTGATGATTTATATCAAAATACATAGCATTTATTTAAATAATCGCAATCACCAATTATAAAAAATTTTATAAATACTTTAATTCAGCTAGATTTTATTCTAAATCAGGATGTAAAGATCCTTGTCGTGTAACTGGTAAACAAAATAATCAAAGTATAAGTTTAAATATAAATATAAATATAAATATTAAAATTTAATTTAATTTAATTGATTATCGGATAGATTGTTTTAATTTAGAAGCGACAGATTTAATATCAGTGTTCTCTTTCTTCTTTTTAAGAGGGTCTGTCTGGAAGCACTTCCAGAGTCTCAGTGTCTCGTCTCCACCGGCGCTGAGCACTGTCGTGCCATCTGGGGACATAGCCAGGTGCAAAACTCGGCTGGTGTGTCCAGTTAATTCTGCAACTTTCGCCATCGACGGGTACTTCCATATTGTTAGCTGGTTTTGAGCGTATCCGTGTCCTGATACTATTTCCTTGTAGGTCGTTGACCAGAGTAATGAGCATACTTGTGATTTAGTGTCGATGGTGTTTAAGCAGGTACCTAAAAAAAAATATTTTTAAAATATTCAATTTTTTAAAAGAAAATTTTCTATAATTTTTTAATAAATTACCATTATTGCAATTCCAAAATCTAATTGTTCTATCAGCAGTACCACCACCACTAGCCAAAATATTTGTCTGCCATGGACACCAAGCTAGAGCTTTAACAGCAGCTTGATGATGATTAAACGAGTATAAAGCTTGATTATGCGCGTGGTGATGCCCACCAACAGCTGACCATATCTGTAGCATATTATCATTACCACCACTTGCTAAATATTTGCCGTCGGGTGACCACTTGAGACCACAAACTTCCTGAGAGTGCCCGTTTACACCTGCTACTACGTGCTCACGTTGTCGTACATCGTGATGTACAATCTGTCCTGATCTGTTTAACAAATAGCAAATAATTTTATTATTCAATAATTAAGAAATAACCTTGTATCTTGTGAACTATTGACATTTTTAAAGATATAAGCTCATCTCGATGTTACACTCATCGAGACCTTTCATTTGAGTACCCACATCAATTTTTCATATATTTGATATATTTATATATATATCACAAATACCATATATATATAAAATATATAAAAAATGCCATGTGGGTACTCAAATGAAAGGTCTCGATTAGTGTAACATCGGGATGAGCTTATATCTTTAAAAATATCAATAATTAAGAAATGTCGTTGTATCTTGTAAACTATTGACATTTTTAAAGATATAAGCTCACCCCGACATTACACTTATCAAGACCTTTCATTTGAGTACCCACATCAGTTTTTCATATATTTTATATATTTATATATATGTATATATGAAAAATGTATGTGGGTACTCAAATGAAAGCTTTTGATGAGTGTAACGTCAGGATGAGCTTATATCTTTAAAAACGTCAATAGTTAAGAAAGTACAATGCAATTTAACAAAATTCATTATTTAATAAAGCAAATTTGTATTTATTTATAGTTCACAAATCCCGGCAGTCACATAGTGACTGCAAAATTGCTAGTTATATTTTATTTATATTTAAATAGACAATAAATATTTACCTGCAGCCCGTAGTCAAAATATGAGAATTCCAAGCCAAAGAACCAACTCTTGCAGCATGTCCGTTCATAATTCGTACACGTTTCATTTGACTGCAATCCCAGAGCTCGGTACTACCAGAAGGCATCCCTACTGCTAAATAAGGACCCTCCTGGATCCAAGCTACTGAGCAAACTACTTCGTTATTTTCTAGCTCGAACAACTGTTCTATTGTTCCAGAAGCGGCGTTCCAAAGGTAGACTGTCGAGCCGAGAGCAACTGCTAGAATGTTACTTGGAGACCAGTCGACTAAATTTAAGTCTGTAAAATAATTTTAATAAAATATGCTTTGAGTATATAATTTATTATATTTAAAAAAAAAAAAAAAATAGGTGAAGTACTTACAGTAGTCATCAACAATTTCAGGAGCGTCAAGAATACGATCAGGAGCTTGAGGAATGTACCGAGATGAAGTTTTTACACTAGCTGGGGTCTTTGTTTGACTGTAAACAACTCTCAAGGGGTTTTGATAGCCCTCTGGAGGAGCTGGAGCCTTGTTCTGGTAAGACAGGACTCGCTGGTTGCTGCTGATATCCACTCCAGTCATAGTCTCAATTAGTCTTTGCATCTCTTTTTTCGGACTGGTTTCATTTTTGTTGGCATCTTGCTCAAGCTTGACCTGGGTGAGCTTGTGGTAAGCCAGGTCGAAGTTAGTCGTTGTCCTTGAAGGAATAAATCTATCTCCACCACTTGGAGTCTTCGGAGTTGTAGCATTGCGGCCTAAATTTCAATTTAATTTATTAATAAACTAAATTATTAATTGTAATTATATTAAAAACTTGAATATTATTATTATTGATAATTTATTAGTTTTTAAATAATTCTGAGAATTTCCGTAGAATGTCAGTAAATTTAAAGATTATAATTTGATCAAGTTTATGAAATAAATATAATACTAAAGTAAACTGACGTTTTTAATTATTTGTTCATTTTAAAAAAAAAATTGACATGAAAAAATTTTAAAAAATAAAAAATGCAATTTTTTAAAAATTATTTTTTGGAACAAATTTGTTTGTTAAAAAATTCTCTAATGACTGCTAACTTTACTGTCATAAAATAAATTTATAAATATAAATACATACTTGGAGACTTTTTCCCGCTTTTAGGTGTCTTTTTCGTCCGTGTTTCCGCACGTTTTGTTGGTGTTTTGCCGGGAACCATGATGTTCATCATCGAGCTGTTGCTCATTGGCTTCCTTGAGTTATTTAACGACATACTCAAGCTAGAAAATAAAATAAAAAAAAACAATTAAAATAAACCATTTTCAATAAAGAATAATAATTAAAATTAAAAACTTACTTGGCGGAAGTTTCCAGGCATTTTTTCTGCCATCGAGGAGTAGGTCCTTTGATAGCGTCGTCCATGCGGGTTATGTTACTCAATTCTTTTTGAAATCTCAAGTGTGACATAATTAGTAAATTAATTTATTAATAATAATACTAAATAACAATCTCCAAGCAAGCAACAAATCTATTCATAAAATCTAACTATCAATATTTATCAACGCTGTTTATTATTTTTTCACACGATTTATTTTATTCTAATTTACTTAGATGTTAAAAAATTTACTAGCAGTATTTCAGCCGCTTGATTATTTATTTATTTATTTATTTATTTAATAATTAAAAATTGTATTTCATTAATGCTTGAGTAAATCACGCTTAAAAAAGTTTTTTTAGTGCACAGCGTTGTGTTGTGGCTATGGCTACCGAAATTCAACTTTTAATAATAACCGTTACGGTTATGTGTTCAAATATACAATTGCAACAAATAATTTAAATTTCTCCCGCCAGTTGGCGCTTGCGCAGCTTCCTCGTGCTCTGATTGGTTGGAAGATGTGACGCCATTTTGACGACGTCACTTCTCTACGATTAGTTAAAAGTGAACACGGCCGTTGGCTTAGCTTTACGTTATCGCAGTTATTTTTTAATATTTTTTTATGTTTCAAGTGCGTAATTAAATAAATATAAGTGTCAGTGTATAGTTTTATAAGTTGTGATCATAATTAAAATTAAATTTTATTGTGACAAGTGTTTAAAGCGGTTATTTTTGTATTTTAAATTTGACAGCACCGGTAAGTTTTTTTTTTTTGTTAATATTTATATGGAATTAATAATAATAATAATAAATTGTAATAATTAAATTAAAGAGATGATTTAAAAATATTTATTACTTGCTTAAATATGATAAAGCAGTTTTTTTATTTCATAATGATTCAATAGAAAATTATTATCATTGTAATTAATATGTTGGTATAAAAAAATATTTTTAATTATAAAAAAATTGTAATTTTTTAGTGACAACAAGAGCTCCAGTTTCTTCTTTCCAAGATTTGCAGCACTGGTGAGTTTTTTTTTTTTTAATTGATATTATTTTGATTGAATTGCTGGAATATATTTTTCAAGCTTTATTTAAAAGGAAATAATTTTTAAGAATGAAATATAAAAAAATACAAGATTTAGTTTTGAAAAAAAATTTTTTAGTTGTTTAAAAAATATTTTTCATTGCAATTAGAGTTTCAAAATAAATTATTTTAAAAAAGTAAAAAACTAGATATTTGTCTTTAAAAAATTAATAATTAATGCAATTAATAATTGCATTATTATAATTATCAAATTAACACTAATGACCTTTAAAAATATTTTAAAAAATCAGTAAGTATATTTAAAAAAAACAAATCCCGAAAAAATGTCAAAAATGCGGGAAAAAGCGACATTATAACAAAATTTTAAGCTCCAGCAATTTATGATGACATTAAATTAAAGTTAGCTGTCACTTGACCAATTTTTAATTTTATTTAACAATTAAATTAATTTAAAAAAATTGCATTTTTATATTTTTTAATTTATTTAAAAAAAATCCCAAGAAAAATGATAAAAATTAATTTAGCAGATATTTGATCATTTTAAAAATTTTTGTAACAAATAAATCATGGTAAAAAAAAAATTGACATGTAGAAATTTCAAAAAATTAAAAATCCAATTTTTTGGAACGAATTTATTTGTTTAAAAAAAATTAAAAAATATTCAATACAAGTGACTGCTAATTTTAATGTCAAAAAGGCGGGAAACAGCGACACCTATAAAAAAATTAAAAACTACGACAATCGATACGAAAAAAGTCGATTAAAAATGAGCCGAATCGATAATTAACGACAGTCGACTGTGAAAATCGATTACCAAAAAAAGCAATAGTGCAAGACTGTTGTCATTGAGAGCTGTCATAAATCATTACCTCGCAGCAGCCGAAAATTTATTGAAAAAGTACGTAGAAAAAGAATGACTGCGGTTGGTGGTCTCTGCGCAGCTATTGTATAGATCCCGACGACAAGCTGGTCTCCATTCAGCGGAGAATTGGACGGAGGGCTTAGCTGGTGTAGGTAGACACAGATGTAAATTTAAATAAGTGTGACTGTGTGACGTGCTGAGGTAGTTGATGTGGAGAGTCGTAAGCGGCGTTGGTGGCGGTGCTTAGCTGACTGTAGAGTGCGGTGTACAGTGTGCCGACGTCCTCGGTTTGGAGCGGGCTCGAGGGGCTGAGCGATATCATCATACGCGAGTGTGTACATTTTATTATTTTTACATAAGCCCGAATTAACAAACGAGTGTGTCGTAAGTACAGTGCCAGTGAAGTGCGTGATAATTGATATTTTTCGTTTATTCTATTGAATAATAGTAATATATACAATTACATATATCATACAATATATTTATTTATCTGTTTGTTATTTTTAGAGTTGAAGATAAATAATAATCAATATTAATGGATTGACCAACAAAAAGTGTGTTCACTGGAGGTGATTAAGTAACACCGATAAAAGTTGATATTTAAATAGCAATTGGAATAATAATTATCAAAAGTTAAGTTGGTAAGCAAAGCACCTTACCCAACAATTAGTGTGTGTTTGGTACGTGGGGACTTTGGAGCAGAGAGAAACGACGGCAGTGGCGGTTGTAATTGACAGGAAAGATGGCGCAAGGTGCAGACGAGGAGTGTTGACCTATTTTGTTGACCCCCGTGAAGTTTTTTGTGAGAATAATCGAGCATTCTGTCACGCGCCTGGTTGATCCAAGCTCCAACATTGCCAAGGAGCCAGTAATTATTCGAGGCCATTGTAATTTAAATAATTAATCGTTAATTACTCAACAGCTACCAATAATAATATTACAGTACAGTAGATTCAAGATTCATCTATCAGTCAGAATAAATATAAATAATTTTTGGTAGAATCTGGCGATCAGGACACCCAAGCCAAAAACACTCCGGCGAGCCAGGAGTGTTTTTAATTATTGCCCTAAAAGGAACGAGTAAAGCCGCAGCAATTTTGAAAAAATTCGATATCCGTGGAGCCTTAGCGGGCTCGAGCACGGGTGGAAAGATGGGGAACAATGCTGCGACAGCTAACAAAAAGGTTGACGCTGCTGAGAGTGTCAAGGAGTTCTTGGACGAGGCGAAGGAAGAGTTTGAAGAAAAGTGGAAGAAAAACCCAACCAACACCGCTGCGCTAGATGATTTTGAAAGGATCAAGACTCTGGGTACCGGCTCCTTCGGGAGGGTCATGATAGTCCAGCACAAGCCGACCAAGGAGTATTATGCTATGAAAATCTTGGATAAACAGAAAGTCGTTAAGTTAAAACAGGTTGAGCATACGCTTAATGAAAAGCGTATTTTACAGGCTATAAGTTTTCCATTTCTCGTTTCGTTACGTTTTCATTTTAAGGATAATTCAAATCTTTATATGGTACTTGAGTATGTACCCGGTGGAGAAATGTTTTCACATTTACGAAAAGTTGGAAGATTCTCCGAGCCACATTCGCGTTTTTACGCCGCTCAAATAGTACTTGCTTTTGAGTATTTACACTACCTTGATCTCATTTATCGTGACTTGAAGCCTGAAAATCTTCTGATTGATTCTCAGGGCTACCTTAAGGTCACTGATTTTGGGTTTGCTAAAAGAGTAAAAGGGCGAACGTGGACGCTCTGTGGTACTCCGGAATATTTAGCGCCTGAAATAATTTTAAGCAAGGGCTACAATAAAGCCGTAGATTGGTGGGCGCTCGGAGTTTTAGTCTACGAAATGGCTGCCGGTTATCCGCCATTTTTTGCCGATCAACCAATTCAAATTTACGAAAAAATCGTAAGCGGCAAAGTAAGATTTCCATCGCACTTTGGCTACGATTTAAAGGATCTGCTGCGTAATTTACTACAAGTTGACTTGACCAAGAGGTACGGGAACCTCAAAGCTGGCGTTAATGATATCAAGGGACACAAATGGTTCGCCAGCACCGACTGGATTGCTGTCTTCCAGAAACGCATTGAAGCTCCCTTTATACCCAAGTGCAAGGGCCCCGGCGACACTAGTAATTTTGATGATTACGAGGAAGAGCCCCTGAGAATCTCAAATACCGAAAAATGCGCCAAAGAATTCGCTGAATTTTAAATTTATTTATTATTATTATAATTATTATTATTATTATTATTATAATATTGGTATTCAATTATTTTAAAATAATGCCAATTTAATCTATTGGAATTTATTGAGTAAATATTCAGTCATACGCTGAATTATTTATTGGCAACAAAACAAATACTGGTCGATTGGTACCGCTCGATAAAAAATGTTCAACTTACTTTTGGTTGCTGCTTTTGGTTGTCATTTTACATTATTACTACTGTAATGGCAATTAATTATTAATCAACAAGAACAAGAACAACAACAATAATAATAATCATAATCTATGTACGTGATTGTATCAATGATTATTATCTATTTTTCATACCTGGCCTCCGTCATTCCAAGGAGTTATCTGGAATCTTTAGCAATCTCGCTGTGATTGTTTATTTTATGTATAATTATAAATAATAAAATGTGGTTCCCATTAAAAGTAATAATGGAAGTTATAAAAACTAGTCGTTATCATCTCACCAGAAGAGTTTAATAATGTAAAAGAAAATCAACCAGATTATTTTATCGAGTATATAGTAGCAAATAACTATCATCTACGATAATCGTTTGTGAATGCTCATCATTCAGCCAATCTAGAGACATACGAGGATTTATAAAATGAAAAGTACTACTAGTACTGGTACACATGCACTTTATTGAAGATAATCTCTTTAAAGTATACTGAAACAAATAAACCAAACAAAACCAAACTAAACTCTTAAATCTATATATTTTAATCTTTAATCTCTAATTAAACATCAGCAAAAAATATCTAATCTCTACTGTAAAAGACACCAATTAAAATTTTTCGATGCACTTGCATTTGATGTTTTACTCGAACTTTTGTTAAAAAAACTCTAATAGTGTTATTCAGTTTTATTAGTTAAAGTGTAATAGTTGATGTTTTTGTTTTTAATACAAAAGCACTTTGCATAAATATTTTTAAATAAGACCACACGTCCAATTGCATCCGCATTTTCATCGTCATTAATAAATTAATTAATTCACAAGGAGTATTTTTGAGTTGGTAATTTTAATAATTATCAATTTTATTGTCAAGAACATGAAGATTGGAAGATTATCGGCGGAACACCGTCTAATCGTGGAGCAGCCATTTAAAAGGGAGTACGATTGAGACTGAGAGAGTTTTACTATTATTATATATTATATTATATTATATATTATATATTATACTGTGGGTGGATCATAAAAATTTCACGAATATGTGTGAAAGAATATGAGAAAGAGAGGCTAAAGTGTGAATATGTATCATAATTCCTTTTATTGTTCCTCCGTGTCAAGAGCACAATGACTCGATAACGGAGATTCAAACTAAACGGACCTTGAGTGTGTTATATTTTATGTATGAATGTATGTGGATGAATATATTAAATTTTATGACATACTGGCTCTCGGCAACAGCTTTTCGCGGTCGTTAATAGCAATCCATTGAAAATGATAAAAATAGCAGTAGCGGAAAAATAACCATTAATGTGCTAAATAATAAAATATTATTATTATAATCAGTATAAAAAAATTTTAATAATAAATAAACATTAATTGCATACCTACAGTAGTCGATGCTATTTTTATCAGCTTTAAAAGTAATTAATGATCGCTTTGTATGTAAAATATTGAGGATACATGGAATTAAAATAAAAAAGTATTTTTTGCAGAGCATTATATTTAATTCAGGAAAAATATCCAGTTGACAATTATATATTAATTAATTATTAATGGTGTAATGTCTTTATGTTGGATTAGTAACAAATATTTAATATAATAATAATTATTAAATAAACGATTTATGGTGTGAGTAGCGATTTATGATCTCATCTGGATATTATTTCCCGAGTTAGGTTTATCGTCCTCGTCGGCGTAACTGCTACTGCTCCATACATGTAATGTACTGCCAACGCAATATGTACCAGTGTATATATGCAGAGGCAATCTTTAATAATAACAACAATAACAATAATAATAATATTAATAATTATAATAATAGTTAAATAAAGTCTCGACATGACTGTTAATACGAGAGTATATTAGATGTGAATGTGTTATGTCAATGAGCGTAATATGTTAAATAATCATATTGCACTAGAAGGGAGTATAACATTACGAGAAATTCTCTAGTATTGTATATTATATATTCTAGCATAGAAAAAAATTATTTCACGTTTTAAATTACATATATTTATATTTACATCTATTCTAGGATATATAGTCCTCCCTACCTCAAAAACCATTTTCACATCTATTTTTTTTTATATTTCATCTCTCTTATTTTAGGAGCTAGACAGCGTCATGGAAAAATATTTTTTTTTTTTTTTTTTTTTTTTTTTTTTTCAAAGAAAATTATTTAAACATTTGTAAATATATTTCAAAAAATAAGTCGAGTTAATTTAAAAAAATTGAAATAATTTAATTAAAAAAAAATTATTTTTCCATAAAATTAATCTAAGCTCCTTTAAAAAAAAACGTACAATTAAATATTCAACTAAATATTGAGCCCTTAGTTTTAAAAACTACTAGGTCTCGCGGTCGACATATATCTTGGCACTCATTGTAAATACTATTTAGAAATACCTGGTAATTTTGTTATTTATAGATGAGCCATATAAATATAAATATAAATTATTTTGTGAATGCTCGGTCGCAGTATTTTAAATTTATAAAATTATAAAATATCTCTGCACGTAATAATAATATAAATCGTAATAAAATTCACCTATACAATGTATACGGTCATATAAATAATGTAATACGTCTATCAACACTCATACAGTACATTACACTACACCTATAAATACATACACGGAGTATAAACATACGCAATACATTAACAATAAAGTATAAAGTTATAAAGTTTGATAGGCAAGAAGCTGGCACGTGCCCGTTTGCGGTCGCAAATAATAATAAATAGTTTAAACTTTTCATATATAACAATCATACTCTTGAAACCACCATTGCTAGTTAGCGAGCTCTTGTCTTGTTAATTAACAACATATTTTGTGTTATTACATTTATTAACAACTAAACTAAAACGCTAACATTTAATTAATTATCTCAGTTTGATAGTCAGCAAGTTACGCCAACTAATTACTCATTGTTATTATTATTAGCTGTTATTATATATCTTGTATCGTGACTAGACTATTTCACAGATCACAGGTGGTTTTATATGCCATACATTATTATTATCTGGCATACCTCATATTTTTTTACTATCAAGGACTAATTCATAAAACATCCGCTTAATTAAACATTCAGTTTTAAATATTTCGGTCGGGCTGAAAATAAATCTTTTAATAAAATTATCTAGAGCTTGCTGGGAATTTTATCGACATTATACTACTCAGACCTCTTAATTATAATTATCGTTGTTTTAATAATTACTGTTACTATTATTAATATTTTTATAATTGATAAATCTTGTATGTTGTGTGTCACTAGCTACTGCTTCTATTTAAATATTAATGAGTAATTATCAAGTTATTAATACGGGAATTAAGAGAACATCTTTTCTTATGCTAACAACATTATCGTTCTGGGTTAAAATCTACCTAAAACTCCTTTGCTGAGCTCGCGGATTACCGGTACGGTTAATTATAGAAATCTAGATCAATTTAACATAAACCATTCGAGATTCTTTAATGTTTTTTTT